GTATGGAATATATTTATACAGAGAAAAAAGCATGAATATCAATATGGTTCAAGAATAAATTGTCAATATGACGCCATTTTATAAACATTAAATATGCAAAATACACAAATAAATTTGAAGAGAATTGAACTTCTTTCTATGTTCATGTCTATTTATCTATATTTTTTTTATTTTGAAAATCTTACTCTTTGTGATACTCCAGCTGTGACTGTGTTCATGTTCCATATTTATTTTTGTCTTACAAAGGGTGTGGTGGATGGATTCACATTAATATTCTTTTGATGTGTCTCAAAGACATCATACTTTCATTAACACCCCACCGCCCCCCTTCTTCTCTCTCTCACCCCTGCATCAACTTCCATTTGTTGCCATGGCAACTGTGTTTGATCTCCTCCACCCTGCCCCTGCATTTGAGTACCGTTCTTGTCACCCCATTTCTTTCCCACTCTTCTGTTTTTTTCAGCCACTCACCCAGACACATACACACACACACCAGAGACACACGTCTCTGTCTTTTGTCTTCCCCCTCTCGTGTCTCTCATCTTTCCCTCACCACCAGCCTTTTTTTTTCCAAACCCACTGTTCTGCAATTCTCTCCAGCCTCCCTTTTTTTTCATCCAACTTCTTTTTTTTCCTCCCTTTAACATAGTTCCCCACCCTAAAATACACCCCAACCCTCTCCTCACAGCTCTAGGTGCTGCCTCACCTTTTGAATTATTCATGTGATGGCATTGGCCACCCTGGTCACGAAGGTGCAATCCTCTAATCAACATGCTGACCTTGTAGCTGTTGTGACAGTGCATGTGTGCTCTGTGGATGTGAGTGTATGAGGGGTCACATATGGCATGTGGTATGACACAGTTGTAGGACCTAGTTGTAATCATATGTGATGGTACATTTCATTATTGCGATCTCAAGCCAAATGGATTAGCCTCTGCTCTTTTCTAATCATGTTAAGTGTGTGGAGAGGGTGTATTTGCAACTGTTTTATTGATTAAGTCTGTAAAGCCCCCCTTTAGAAGCCACCAGGGAAAGCAAAGCAAGGGATTACAAGCCTTAAGATCAGTGTGTGGTGACAGGCTCTGACAAGCTGATATTACTTGTTAATGTTGATATATTACTTTGCATGAGTACTGAGGATGGACAAAATATTCCAAAATCTGTAGCTCTGTTAGCAAGAACTCACCATGGAAAGCTTATAATGGTTTGAATTTTTGTTGAGAATGCGATAGAGACGTGTTGATTTAACACTTGTAATTTTATAGGCCCCTTTTGTGTTTTGGTTATATTTGATTGCATTATATTCTGAGCTGTTCACATTACTTCCTGTATGCATAAAATATTTCATAGACTGTCTGATACAGTATTATCACATTTACAACTTCACAAAGCAGGGCAAATATATTGGATTGCACTAGACTGTGCATACATTTGTGTAACTGTGTCCACCCTTTGTTCCTCCCAATGAATTTGATGTCATTAAACCCGCTGAGGCCTCTTATCAGTCACAACCCAGCCCTCAGTTCATATGAAATGTGTAATCTTTATGGGTAACATTTTAGTTATTTTAACTGGAAACAAGCTGCCTTCTAAGGAACGCTGCCTCATGAAATCACTGGCCCCAAAAAATAGGAACAAGGGAAGCTTGTAGGCTATTTATTTCTCAGCAGCATTGTATGCAAAGCAGTCGGTTCTGCTCCAAACACAGAGCCCATTAGTATTCACAAACAGGCCTCTGCAGTAATCAACACATGTTCAGGCATACAGGAGAGAGGACTTGTATTCATATTCATATTCGGTATTCATAAGACGTTTGTTATCAGTATTCTGCTCAATGTCCTTACTATAACGCAGTGAGGCACTTCTTTCCCCACTATGTCTCTCCACCGATTCTGCGCACCCACACACATGCAAATTCATAACACACACTCAACATCCACACCATTTTCAATATGTGAAGTGATTGATAGTAGATAGTCTATCAGTGCCTCATCAGACAGGTGCATGAGTACCTCATCCTGAATCTAACAATGTACTGTATGGGAACTAAACTGCAGAGCCTGTATCAAATGATTGTTTTCCACAGGCACACTCAAATACAGTATATACACACAATGCAAGTGTCTGAGGAACGTCTGGTCAGATGATGAATACATAGAAGAGTCAGATAGCGCTGAGCTCTATTCCTGGAAGCACAGTCAATAGTGTACTAACACAAACATACACACACACACACACTCACACACACACACACAAACACACATTTGTATTGGACCTATAAAAGTGGAATAAAGGGAGAGAATTGCATTATAAGCCATGTCCAGATGCTCAAAACCCCATCATCTAACATAACATGATTCATTAAATAAACACACACACACAGAGCAGTACTCTTGTTAGTCATCCCGCGTTTATATTTTACTGCAGGATTGTCCGAACAGCAGTTCCTCCTGGGTGTGGCGCAGTCGTGTAGCAACAGAGCAGCCAAGCATGTAAAAATTAAAACCTTGCTCACACACACAGCCGGGAGTTGTGTGCAGAGGAACAAGATATTTTACAGCTCTGCAGAAATTGTTGGAGACACTTGAAGGCTGTTTTGATATCAGTCCAGGTTTGTGCTGGAGCAGAGCATGTCTGAGGACGTTTGTTTTATGCAGCGTTTATGTCTATACCGAGCTGTAGGTGTTGGATGGATTATTTAAATCATTTTGTTTGCCGTCTCCTCTCTTATGTTCTCCACAGTTATGTGTGTGTGCGGTGTGTCAGCCAAGGAGAATCACCTTTTAACTGTACTTTATTCAAAGTGTTTTAATGATTAAAAGCAGTGCTTGCGATGATTGGTGTGACCATTAATGTGTGACTACATTAGATAAGCAATGTTTAAACACGCTGAATGGTTCTAAGTGGATTTAACATTTTAAGATTCTTTTTAATGAATGGCTCAGGGCCAAATCCTCTCTGTGAGGACAATCAACTCTACAGTCAACACTTTCCAGCTCCAAATAACTGTCAGTAAAAATCAATAGTTCTGTGTAACCCACAAACAGCCTGTATAACCCACAGATTGCTGCTAGACTGATGTAAGTGTGCCAGCTGCAGTTCAGGTGTTGGTTTAAGTGTGAGCCTGTGTGTGTTGTGTGTGTAATTGTCTTTGAAAAATAAAGAGAGATGAGCATCAAAGGAGAGAGAGAAACAGACTGTGACTCAGAGATAAAGGTGCACAAATTGCTGCATTTGAACAGGCACATATGAATATGTCTGGATTGCTATGGCAATAAGTGGACCTTAGGTAATTGTGGTAAAAGTGTAAAAGTTTCACCATGGTGGACAACAAGACACATTATTGGAGAGAAAGCAAAGTGACCAACTTGTTTCAGGAGGGTTGTCAATTCAGTCAAACCCAGGCAGATAATCTACAACCGCAATGTGTTTTAAATAAGAGACGCACAAGTAACTTCTGTTAGTGTTACTAATACAGCGTTTTTTCTGTCACTTTATATTGGTATTAAATGTTGGTTACATCGAGGAATAATGGACACTAAAAGCATAGGAGCATCGGTCTGGGTTTGAGCGTGACAGCCTGGGGTGCAAACATTACCAGCATGTTTGGACAGTCAAACAAGTAGAGAATGAAATAAAACCTTGTGTACACACAAAGGCATTGCAAGGACCTTTCATAGGCTTGTGATCACAGCTTGCATGAGCAGCATGAGCAGCATGTTTTGATTGTATCAAATATTAAGCAAATATCTTGTTTTCCTCTCTGTGTGCCATAGAGACTGAAGCTCACATGGCTGCTTTTTGCTTTAGAAACATATAAAATCCCCATTATGTGGTACTAAGGCGTCCTGTGAATAGAGCAAATTAATTGAGAAACAAAGAAGGCAGAGAGAGTGGAGGGGTTGTTAATTCATTATTCATCCTCTAATTTGACATTAGAGGTCAGTGTCAGTGTTCCTCCTCTGTTTTCTCCCTCCTCCTGCAGCCTCCTCCTCTTCTCTCTTTACTCTACTCCTTCCTCGTTTGTCCAGTTTCATATTCTCACCGAGTGGTTTAGAGTATTTAGGTCTACTGTGTCTCTGCATCAGCACAATGTGTGTACTAGAGTTTGAGTGTAAGTGGGTGTGTGCTTACTAACAGTATGGAGGATTTTGAGCATTCAGAGTGTGTTGTGTGTGTTCATCTTTTTTGTGTGTTATGGATAATCAGGGTTTATGCTTTCTCTTTAAAAACTGCAGCGGTCAGTGCTTGAGATGCCTGGTTGCTCCTTGCGCTCTCTGTCTCTCTCTATATTCTCTCAATATCAGTTAGATTTACAGGCATAGTTTCACATAAGTTAACACCACATTTGACTGATTTGACAGTCTCATTAAACAATGACAAGATGAGTCCGTTTAAACAATCCAATGATCCCAGCTTCTTTCCATCTCTGTTTGTCTGTGCAGAAACCGGACACATAGACCCAATCATCATCGAGCGTTACAACACCCCAGGCTTTGTGGGGTGTCTGTCGCGAGTACAGTTCAACGGAGTCGCCCCCCTCAAATCTGCGCTGAGAACCACCACGCAGGCCAAGGCCACACCGACAGCCAGTCAGCCAGACAGACAACCCGCAGCCGCCTTGCCGGTGTCTTACCAGGGGAAACTGGTGGAGTCCAACTGTGGGGCGTCACCTCTCACCATACCACCAATGTCTGCTGCAACAGATCCCTGGCGTCTGGACAACACAGGTGAGAAGTTACTTAAGTCATTTATCTTCCAAGAGTAACACACACCTGATATTTGCTAATTAAATGCGGTGTGGTTTTAAATCAACTCAAGGTGGAACATCTAGTGACGTAAAGATGCACATTATTATGCTCTTGTGCACATACGAACTTGGTAATTGTTCCCTTCCAAACTTACTAATTCTAAATCTATCTTTGACATGTAGGATTACATTTCTGTGTACCCACACACACACACACACACACACAGACCTCACTATTCGTCTAATGCTGCATTCCACAGCAGTGTACAGTATTGCAGAGTGTGGATGCAGCCATTTTCCTCAGGCTTGGTGCCAACTGTTCCTTTGGGAAGGTTGAGCTATCGGACATCGATCCAGTCCATCGACCTGCACTCCAGGTCCAAACTCACAGTCTCTCCACCATCCTTCCAGTGAAAGTATTAGTACTGTTTATTATGCTTTACATTTTCTATAGATAGATCTAATATATAATTTATCCAGCCCTCCCACAGTCCCTCACTTATAATCACTGTCTGTCTGTTCATCGATTTTTTTTCTTCCAGTTCCTAACTTCCTTACTTTTTTCCTCTATTTGTCCTCTGCTCTCTGTCTTCATCTTTCTAGACATTATATCCAAGCACATTTAGGCAGCTGACTGTAATGAGTCTGATTGGTCTCCCTATTGCTTCCCATTTTCACACCCTTTTCCCCTCCTCATCCTCCTCTTCTCCTTCTTACTCATTCTCTTTACTTACCCTGGAGAACTATGCAGTAAGCAGCAGAAATAGCTGACAGCTCATTCCAGGGTGAGGCCGTTTGTGGGAGTGTGCGTGTATATGCAGGATGTTGTGTGCTGTTTGATTATGCTTGTTTGCAGTTATATCCATACATACTTGTGTGTTGACAATTGCAACAGTATCTTAGTTGTCCTATTCACCCACTACCTGCTCCGCTTATTTCTCTCCACTCTTTTCCCCTCCATTTCTTTTCTAGGGAGAATCAGAGCAATTTGATGATTGCGTTCTGACAGAGAATTATAGTGGAGAGGCAGAAGTAGCAGCTGTTATTAACCTCTTAACCCTGTCATGGATCTTTAATGAAGTACATGAAACAATACAGCTATACATTAAATAAACTCCAATAGTCATCCCTTAAGGATGCTTAGCACCGGTGTATCCATCCGCTTGACTGTCTGATGTGTGTTTGCAGTAAAACTGGAGCCAATATTGATGAAACCACGCACTGTTCATTACAGTGCATCCTGTTTTTGCTTCAGTGTTGAAAGCAAAACTTTGTAGTTATAATTCAGGGCGAGTTATGCATGAAATTACTCCTTGTGACTTTTTGCTGCTATTTTTGTGTCGCTGCAAGCGGGACTGTGAGGTGGACACTGAAATGTACTTTGTCCATCTGTTTGGTATTTTCATGTGCACAAATGGGTCTAGTGTAGCTATTCAACATAGTTTTATTCGTAGAATAAACATAAAACATCTTAGACATTCTTTTAGTCTATTTATGTGTGGAAATTGGTTTTATTTTGTTCTTTCTTCTTGCTGTGTTCAGATGCAGAGTTCCCCTTCAATGAGGAGAGAGTGATTCCTGATGGAGTCAACAGAGACTCAGCCATCATTGGAGGTAAAACATTTTATTTTTTTACACAGATTTTAGGTGTTAAGAGGTGAATCTATATTAGCTGCTCAAAAATAATATAAATGACAAATAAGTCGGCACTGCTAAATGATATAAAGTAGTTGAGGTTTACCCACCTTTCCTGCTTCTCCATAATGTCAAACTTACAACACATTTTCAAAATGTCTTTTAGCATAGATTGAAAAAAGGATGTAAGTAAATACTCCTCAAACCATTAATCAGATTTATTTTCTGTCAATCGACTAATCAATTAACCAACTAACTGTTTCAGCCCGACACTGAAAGCTTGTTCCAAAGTTGGTTAGTTGTTAGTTGTTAGTTGATTGAAGATAACGACTGTTTCTGTGTCCTCTGCAGGTATCATTGCAGTGGTGATCTTCACCATCTTGTGTACTCTGGTGTTCCTGATCCGCTACATGTTCCGTCACAAAGGCACCTATCACACCAACGAAGCCAAGAGCAGCGGGGAGTCTGCCGGAGAATCAGCAGACACGGCCATCATCGGCACCGACAACCCTGAAACCATCGACGAATCAAAGAAGGAATGGTTCATCTAACAGGCAATGATGGGACTTTGAGAGAGGAAGTGATTCGTCAGACCACGAGTTGCCACAGAGATGGAGGAGGTTTAATTCAATGACCAATCACGGTAGAAATGAAGTAAAGGCCTTTCAATAGGACAATAATCTCTCAGAGAGGGTGGGAAAGACGTGTACAGAAATCTTTTTCGTTTGTTTGTTTGTTTTGTTTTTTTATATATCCAGAGTATTAGAAAGAGAAGAGGGACAGTTATGCAGCGGAGCACAGCTGTAAGAGACTGTACATGTATATACTAACCGGCTTGTCCTTCTTTGTATCGTGCTTGGGAGTTTTCAGGAGTCCTTTGAATACTGTATATGACAAATAATTATACTTACTGGGTGGTGTTATAGCACAGATTTATTGCCAGTCTCTGTTGCATTTTGATTTTATTTTTTAACAAAAATCTTATATCAAAAATGATCAAATCAACATGCCAAACCCTTTTTGTTTTTCATTTATCAGGCTGCGGTTGCACCAGTCTGTCAACGCTCATATACGTCAAATGACATGCCACCTATATTGTGGTAATATAGAGTTGCATATGGATGCCAAAAGTCACTTTGTAAATACAATATTTTTGTGTTATTTTATTTCTTTTTCTCAAAAGATTTATTGAGAGTCCAATACATACAGTAAACACTAATGAGAAATTTCAGATCTATATTACAATCATATCATAGTCTGTCCATTACATTATATACGTATGAAATATAGAGTTTTTTGTTTAAATCTTATGACATTCGATTGTAAGGGACATTCCTTTCTGAGGAAGAACAGAAAGGGGTTTCTCAAAGCATGATGGGAAATCATGACACTCCATGGTTGGTTTAGCTCAGCACGGCAACTTTGGAATGGGTGAAACCGTCAGCCTTTACTCATTCATACTTGAGCAATTGGTTTGTTTTCTTTGCCAAACACTTAAGTCTTACGTCATTAACCGATCGGCTGAGATATTTTCATTGTTTGACTTTGACTTTAGGAGTTTTCTCAATATTTGTACATCTTAGTCTGACATTGGGCTGCGGGTTTACAGTGTGTGCATGCAGCTGTGCGTATATGTGTAGGTCAGATTATTAGAATTGGTTATATTGGACAAAAAGAGTGCCAGATAAGATAGTTAGGACAGTCACATGGATGAGATCGAAGAACTTGTCCAACACTTAATGAGTTGTATTGATGCACTAAACTCTATACATTAAGTGGTCAAAGCGGCATAAAACAAAACAAAAAAACACTGACATCTAATATTTGTTCAAGATCTGGGAGAAGTTAAGATGATAATTGGCTTACTAATCCATTGTGCCTTCTAGGTGTTGAGCCATGTCACCTTGCCCCAGACTGCTTAACACAAACTTACTACAAAAACATGACTGCTGCTGCATGAAGTCAAAAATTCTGAATGAAAAAATCCAGCAAATGTAGAGGATTTTCTCATGTCCTAAAACGGTCTGACTTTTTTAAGCATAGCTGTGTGGGTTCTTATGCAGCAGGAGCAGCTACATTGATGTATAGAAGCGCTGCACCCTATACAGTACGCGAGAGGTTTACACCTACGCTCTGTGACGCACACACACACGCTAACATGCATGATAGAGCATGAGTCAAGGTTGTTGAGGCTGCTGCTTTGTCAACACTGAGTTGAGCTTCACTGTAACAGTGCCACTGTTGTCCAACATACATTCAAAAGATGTACAATGTATATTTTATAACCATGTTTTTTTTTTCCTATCATTGTTGCATATGTTTACCTTACCGTAGCATTTACAGAACAAACGTGTTCCAGTTGAAACCAGCTGCCAACTTTATTTTGTTGTGAATTTGCTTTTTGTGTGTCTGTTTGGTGAAAATGCTGCCATGTCACCCTGTTTGTGCATCATCGTCGCCTCATGGTTGAGTGCTAACTGTAGATCATATCTGAGACATTAGGACAGCTGGTGAACTCAGCCTGCCTTCTACTGCAGCCTCAAAGAAGACTTTCTCTGTCCACACATCACATCCATGAAGGCAAATGAGTAACTTTCCTTTTTTTTTTTTATTATATTACTCAGACTATACATAATCACGCACACATGCCCTTGACACAGTATGTGGTTTGAACATAATGGATGGTATTGGATTATCAGCTCCTACAGACAAGACCATAACCCATATGTTTTGCTTTCAGTTCTACTGAGTTCAATAAAGAGTGTTTGATCTTTAATGTCAGTGTTTTCTATCCATCACTTACATGTTGACTTATAGACATTTTCACACACACACAGCATTATGAGGCACTTGTCACACCTTATACCATGTAATAAGCATAGCATCAGGCCTAGCTGTAGGCTGATTTGTGAGCTACAGCTACATTTAAGTAAAAATGCTATGAAATAAAAAGTGCAAGAATTATAAAATAATAAAAAGTGCACAGATGCAGTAAATAATTAATTTTGAAGTCTGAGTCTGAAACAAAGACTGGGCAGAAAGATAGCGCTTAAGGCAGGACCCTGCTTGACCTTATGTTTAGGTTGCTTTGTTTGGCCCAGCGACAGCAGCAGCATACTGAAAGCGGTGGGTCAAATAGCTCGGCTCGGCTGCAGGCCTGAAACCTAGAAGAGGAGAGTTAAAGAGGTTAAAGTGAGAGAAAGAAGGACAGTGAGTCAGAGAGAATGAATCACAAATATAGTTAGCCCAATGCAATGTGAAGGTCTGTGTGAGACAGGGGATAGGCTGCCCCCTTGTGGTTAGACAGTGCAGCTTCTTACAGATATGGTTGGTGTTATTCAATATAACTTTATTTATGCCTGTAAAGGTGATTGTCTGCAGCAGACCAAAACCAGATCAACAGCTACCAACAAAATAGATATAAGAAGAAAGAGAAAATACTTTAAATTACAATAAAAAACAATCAAATGATAAAAGCTTAAAGCCGATATATGGAATTAGTATAAATATAAATATCAAAAGAAACTGCTCAGTTGTCAACAGTGTGTGTCTGTGTGTCCCTCCTGCTGACCTGAGTACTCTCAGCTTTTCGCACACCTTGTCAGACTCATTCAGACTTTATTCCATACATTGTTATTCAAAATCTAGCGCATACATTACCCACAATGCAACTCGACAACAGGCAGCCAGAGCCATTTACATATAGTATTTTATCTCTGCTAGCCTCCAGCTGAGTTAAGGGGCAGACTACAGCGGTCTAGTAAGCGCACTTCTTTCTAACTCTACTCCTCCAGTTTTCAGCCCCAACCAACATAATTTAGGCGTTACACAAGTTTAACATTATTGACTGTGAACCCTGTTCTCAGACATTTAACAAAGCTCCAATTACAATAACTTCTGGGGAGCACATCTTCATTGTGTGCCATTATTAAACACTATTTCCAAAGTAGAATCAAGACATTTTCAGAGCCCTGTCATCATTACTATTATTGTAGTGAGAAGGCCTTCAGTCCATCTGCACAGTGACGTTTGAAGGCTTATGATCCATTTAGTATTATAGCAACCCTTTTAATCACTTTGTATGTCAGAATATTGACATTCCATTGTGTTTAGTTACCCATCAAATCAATATCTAAGCCTTATGTTTTTCTAACAAGCAGTGTGCACTGTGGTAATAGTTTCTAGGGATCTACTTAATCAACCAATAGGGGGCAGTGTGTGACTTAGTTTAAAATATTCATCTGAGTTTTTTGAACAAGGAGGAATTATTCTAAACAGACACATTTATTATTTTTATTTGTTTATTTCAACAAAAGTGAAAACGCTCCAAAGAAAATCAGCAGTTACAAAAGACACACTTGTACAATAAGTAAACTGACAGTGTTTACAGTCTCTTATATTCCTTCCCTTTGTCTCACTATGAGCTCTTTTTTGTTCCACTCTGATGCCACAGTTAATGCGTGAGTTGGAGAAAATGAGGTCTGAACTAGGATCAGGATTGGTCTTTGGTACGCAGCAGGGATTGGAGTAAATGCTTGGGTTTTATTGTCTCAGGTGAAGCTTTGTGATACTGCAGGCACAGTAAGGGGTGAAGAAATAAAGACTTCTGAGATGAAAGCCTGGGACTTCCAAGAGCAAGAGGTGGCGGACAGCAGGAGACTCTTCACACCTCGGGACACTCAGCTGTAACAACATGCATGAGGGAGACCAGTGAGCAAAGGTTAAGTTACTCTTATTACATCACATATATGTATACATTCGTCCTATTAAAGTGCATTTCTCTGTGTTAATGACTTACCATTCTTAGGCAAGATTACAATGTTGTCAGGGAGGATGCCAGTCTCCAGGGAGAACTGTGTGAACTTCTGCTGCAGGATGACACTGGACTCAGGAGTGCGACCTACAGCACAAACACAGAATGGGTTGCCTTAACCTTCACCCAATCATGAATCCACCAATTCAACGAACAATGCTTCCCCACAGGGACACAGCGCTGTTTGCTGTGGTGTGACTTACTGTAAAGCTTGTTGAGGACCTCAGACACTCCCTCCTTTGTCTTGATAGTGTGGACCAGAGCGTAGTCATCGTACACAACATCAACAATGCGCATGTCGTTGTCATTGTTCCAAACTGATGAATGCAGAAGTAGACAGGTCAGGCTGTTAAATCTTTGTTTTTGTGTCTAGTCTGTGAGTTAGTGTTTGTGTGTGTGCTTTACTCACTTTTGCTGTGAAAGCTGAAGTGTCCAGGGGTGTCGGTTTTCTTAGCAAGGTGAGTCATTCTCCAGCAGGTACCATCAGCACTAAAATAGAAAAAGAGAACCAGGTCAGTTTACTTATCTTTTTGTTACTGAGCGGGACAATCATCAGGATGTTTAGATTTGTCCGTATAATTACTGAATCACTCACTTCAAGTTTGCATAAGAGAGATCCAGGTCTCCTCCAACAGTTGGCACTATTACAGAGGTGCCCATCTTCATCCCTGCCTTGTGGTTCACAAACCACTCGGCGTTAGTGGCAAAGCCAACAATGTACCACTTGCCTGCCATCTAAAAGAAAGACAGAAGAGGGGAAAAAGGGGTCACTCACTCCTGTCTTACACATTCTTAAAAGTAAGGTTTGCATTAAACATTTCAACCTACCACAGATGCTAACAACTCTCCTTTACTCCAAACTGTTAATATTTGGAATATCAGCAATAAGCCTTGCAGCAGTAATACTTCTGCCTCTCTCTTACCTTTGCCAGGTCAAAGTCTTGAACTGGTGTCACATCGGTGCAGACAGCCAGTGTGCACATGAGCGCGGCCAGCAACCTCAGCAGTGTGTTCCTCATGGCTTCACCTTTGTGTTCTGGTCTTCTTCAGGGGTGAGTGAAGTATCAGGATGAGGTAAGGAGGAAAAGGCAAGTGGAGGCTCCTTATATCCTGCTGAGTCCTGCTCCCCATCTCCTCCTCCTCCTCCTTCTTCTGTCTCCTCCTCCTCCCTCTCTCCTGCGGCTAGCTTCTGCATTACAAAAACTCTTTGGCCTACACCCATCGGCATGCAAATCACTGCCGTTACACAACTGGCACGTGTGGATGGAGGAGGGGAAGGTGAGGAGAGAAGAAAAGAAAAGCAAGAGTAGGTACATAATAGGGTTCTTTTAACACCTCCACCCCCTCAGTCACAAATGCTCTTACATGACTATCAGAACAGCTGTTTGGTAAGATTGCAAATTTCTTAAACACATGGTACATGAAAGGCTTCAAAAAACATATCACATACACAGTAAGAAATAAACAAAGTAGAGGCACTTTTGCTGAACTTTTTTTCCCTCTTGCAAAAAGACTAAATTCAAACTCTATGAGCCAATAAAACCCACTTATTTAGATAAAAATGAGAGCTTTCTGGAATATACTAAACCAGTTGTAGTAATGTGCATTCTCCTTGCAGCAAACTGCATTCCTAGCACCTTTAAGGCAGTGATATGTAAGAACTCCACAGTGAAAAAAGTTTCATAAAAAGCTTAGTAGTTTCATAAAACTTTTAAAACAGTAGGAATTTAACAGAGATGCCATTCACTCTTTTCAGTTCTTTAACACAGTGAGAAGAAGAGTTGAATGAATTCTGTCACCTTGTTTGACATTAAATGCTGCATAAATCTGCTTTATGTGGCAATAATAGCCCCCTAAATCCATCACTGTGTTAAAGAACTAGTATAATTTACATTATGTAGTGTGTAATGTGCTCCTCATTTTCGAAAATGCATTGGTGGACTCATCAGAGGTCCCTTTGTTAAGAGACAAGACAGGCACCGACTTGCAATCAGCCGGTTATGTAACAAACACACACACACACAAAGGTGCTGGGTGGAGGAAGGGACAGCAGTAAGAAGCATATTTGGTAACCTAGTTTTGTAACTAAACTCTCTCAACCCCTTTAGGGCTCCACATCTGGGCTACATTAGCCCCCCTCGTTTGTGTTCTC